ACGAGTCGGGTCAAGAACTATTGATGTGATGTCAAAGCATTGATATTTTCGTCAGTCTACAGTCTACAGGAAACGTGCTTGTCAAAGTTAGTATTAGTACTTTACGTCCAGAGTAGTATTACAGATCATTTAAATCATGGCGTTAATTGGATCCATAGAACAATTTAAAGGTGGAAACGCACAGGAGTTTAAAGGGTACATGGATAGAATGGAACACTTGTTTACCGTCAATGTTGTTAACGAAGACAAGATGAAAGTTTCGCTTTTTATAACCCTTGCAGGTCCTGAAATCTACAACGTATTGAGAAACCTAGTTTCACCGAGGACTCCTAGTCAATTATCATTTGAAGAATTAAAAACGTCTATCGAAGGCTACTACAATCCGGCAGTTTCAGAGATTGGCGAAAGATTCATTTTCCACAAGTGTGTACAGAAAGCAGGTAAATTTGTTTCTGACTACATCGTGGAAATTAAGAAGCTTGCATCAACATGCAATTTTGGAGCATTTTTAGAAAGTGCATTAAGGGATCGTTTGGTTTGTGGTCTTTCTAATGATAATATCCAGAAAAGGCTTTTGTCTAAGCAGGATTTAAGTTTCACAGATGCCTGTAAGATAGCTATAGGGTGTGAATTAGCAGATCAGCAGGCGAAGACGATGAGTGATCAGCAATCAAATGAGTCAGTCAACAAATTAAGTAAAAGCCAGTCTCAGAAACAGGGTCCGTATATGTCAAACAAGTCAAGAAGTCAAAATAGTCAGTCGCAAGGAGGAAAGTTAAGTCAGTCGAATCAAAGCAGTCTGTCGAATAGTCGTAGTCAGTTCAGTCAGCAGTCAAGTAAAAGTTGTTACCGTTGTGCTCGTTGGCACAATCCTGACACATGTCCAGCCCGGAATTGGGATTGTTTTACATGCAGAACTAAAGGACATACTAGCAGGGTATGCAAGAAGTCAAAAATCAACGTGGTAGAAGACACAGCATCGGAGGTAGAAGAAGATGAATTTGAACTAAGTTATATTGGTGTGGTGAGTGATAACCAAAAAGCTTTTAAGATACCTATAAATGTTGAGGGAAATATAGTCAATTTTGAGATTGACACTGGAGCGTCTAGGTCAGTAGCACATATATCATTTTTTAAACAATTGTTAGCACATAAAAAGTTATTTAGTGTTAATTTTAGTTTGAAAGTAGTTACTGGTCAAAAAGTTAATATAGTAGGTGAAGTCGATGTACTTGTTAAGTCAAATAATGGTCAAGATTTATTAGCACTCGTAATTGTAGAGTCAGAATCTTATTTTACTCCTTTATTAGGCAGAAATTGGCTGAATGTACTGTTACCTGATTGGAGAAATCATTTCTTGGGTATTAAGTCAAAAATTAATCATTTATTTTGCTTGAACAGTGATGAAAAGTAAGAGTCAATTGATGTTGGTCGGTGTATAGCTGCGGTTAAAAACAAGTTTAATGTAGTTTTTAATGATTCTCCAGGATCAATTATAAAAGGTTTTCAAGCGAGTTTTCAACTTAAAGAAGGAAGTATTCCAGTTTTTCATCGTGCGTATGATGTACCAATTTTGTTAGAAAAAAAAGTTGAAAAAGAGTTATCAAAAATGGTCGAATCCGGTGTACTTGAAGAAGTTAAGTATAGTCAGTGGGCCAGTCCCATTGTTATTGTCCCTAAAAAGGAAAAAGGGGAAATAAGAATTTGCGTGGACTTTAAGAAAACTGTAAATCGTGTAATAAATTGTGATCATTGTAGGTTACCAACCCCTGAAGATATTTTTGCCTCGTTAGGGGGTAGCCGTTATTTTAGTATCATTGATCTAAAGGGAGCTTATCAACAGTTAGAAGTAGATCCACAGTCGAGTCCATTACTTACCATTAATACGCATAAAGGACTCTTTAGGTTTAAACGGTTAACATATGGTATTAGTTCTGCTCCGGCTATATTTTCTGCTGCCATGCCTACTATTTTGTCAGGTTTGCCATGCAGAAACTACCTAGATGATATTCTTGTGTTTGGTGATTCTTTACAGTCTTGTTATGAAAATGTTATAAAAGTTTTAAGTCGTTTACAAGAATATAATGTAAAAGCAAATGAAAAAAAATGCCAGTTATTTAAAAAGCAAGTCGATTTTTTAGGTCATCGTATTGATGAAGTTGGAATACATCCTTTACCGGATAAAGTAAAATGTATAAAGGAGTGTCCAGTACCTCAAAATGTTACACAACTTAAGGCATATTTAGGTTTGATCAATTATTATGGTAAATTTTGCCCTATGTTGTCCACAGTGTTAAAATGTCTTTATGAATTATGTAAAAAAGATGTCGATTTTAATTGGGATAAAAACTGTGATGTAGCTTTTGAACGAAGCAAAGAATTGATTACATCGGATAAAGTGTTGACGGCTGACGCATTATAATCCTTCTCATCCTTTATATTTAACGTGTGACGCTAGTGCTTATGGTGTAGGCGCAGTCCTCAGTCATAGAATTAATGGATTAGAAAAACCAATAATGTTTGCTTCCGGCACACTATCAGATAGAGAGAGAAAGTATAGTAACTTAGAAAGAGAGGCTTTGGCCTTGATTTTTGGTTTAAAAAAATTTCATAAATTTTTGTATGGACGTAAATTTACGTTAGTCAGTGATCATCAACCATTAAAGTTTATCTTTAGTAAAAATAAAAGTATTCCTCTTACGGCTGCACCACGAATAGTACGTTGGGCAGTTACATTGTCTGGCTATAATTATGACATTGAATACAAAAAAGGGTCGTCGATAGCACATGCAGATGCATTATCACGTTTACCAGTAGATGAGCCCACAGGTGTAGAATTATTTTCATTTAATACAGTGGATGAAATTCCACTGCACGCTGGTGTCATAGCACATCATACCTTGAAAGATAAGGTGTTGAGTAAGGTTGTAGAGTATACACTTTTAGATTGCTTTGCGTTCCATTGAATTAAAGCCATTCTGTAAAGTTAGACATGATTTATCTGTTGATCAAAATTGTCTTTTATTGGGAAATAAAGTTGTCATTCCACAAGATTTGAGATTACAAGTTCTTAATTTATTCCATAAAGAACATATTGGAGTGGTTAGGTCTAAAATGTTATTAAGATCATATTGTTGGTGGCCATGCATTAATGAGGATTTGGAACAGTTTATCAGTAAATGTGAGAGTTGTCAAATTAATCAGAAGTGCAACAAATCATCATTGGTTTCCTGGTCTCCATCGATTAATGATTTTCAAAGAGTTCATATAGATTTCTTTTATAAATTTGGTTATACTTTTCTAATTTTGGTAGATTCAAAATCTAAATGGATTGAAGTAAAGCTGATGGATGAAGGTACTTCAGCAAAAGAAACTATATTAAAGTTAAAAGAAATGTTCAGTGTTTTTGGACTTCCAGTATCACTTGTATCAGATAATGGTCCTCCATTCACTTCTAGTGAGTTTATATCTTTTTGTCATGCAAATGGAATCAACTGTTTAAAATCTCCACCGTATCATCCGCAAAGCAATGGCTGTGCTGAAAGGGGGGTGCAGACAGTAAAAAAAAGTCTAGAAAAGAGTTTGTTTTCTAAGGATAGGTCGATGATTTCCAAACCATTAGTTCAGAGTAAATTAGCAAATTTTTTATTTGAATACAGAAATACACCAAGCACATCAACAGGATTATCGCCGTCACAAATAATTTTTAAGTCAAAACCACGAACAAGATTTGATTTATTACGACCGGGTAATCAGTGTGCAAAGCCTATTTCTAATTTAGAACGTAAGCTGTATAATGTTAATGAAAGTGTTTTAGTTAGAAACAAACATTCTCAAGTATGGGAGAAAGGTAAAATTTTAAAAAATTTAAGTTTTTGTACACATTTAGTATTGGTTAATGGCAATGTAAAAATGTTTCATGCGGATAACATTCGCACAAGTAAGTTACAGTCTAAAGTTACACCTTTTCTGCCACTTGAGACGGCTTTTGATAGAAACGTTTTGAGTAGTTCAGCACAATTGTCACCACCAAGTGTAGCAACTGAGAATATGTCTCCTTCTGAGGGAGAATTTGAAAAAACTACACCAAGTAGCGTTACCTTGGTTGCACCTCAATCAACTCCTGATGAGCTGGATTTACAATCGCTCAGGTAGGATTAGTAAACCACCTGTAAGATTAGATTTATAATTTTTTTTGTGAAGGGGGGAAATGATATGTATTCAAGTTATTTATAATAATTGTATAAGGGTGCGCTGATGTTGTCATAGAGATAAGTTGTTGATTCTGTATTCTGTATTTTTGTAAATTGGTCAAAGTTTGTCAATCGTTAGAATAAAAGTTATTAGCAAGTCTACAACCTTTGTCCAGCGAATACATAACAATAGTGGAAGGAAGATCATGTTAATCTATCAAAAATAATGCATCAGAAGCACCACTAACAATAGATAACAGAGCCTAATGTGCTCGACCGCTACTACTGGTCCTAAACAAAGAGCAAACCTTGTGCGTCTATACAGAGCAATAGAGAGCTACTTACATTTCCTATGTGTTGATGGCGAGCGATATGCGCTAGAGAAAGGAGACACAAGACAGCATATGAATGTGATCACGTCGAATATTTGAGAGACATGGGACTAGACGTAAGAGCTTGGCATGTCTAAACACGACCATCTCTTAATCTCTAGCCGTAACTAAACGTGATGACCACACGACAGGATACAATGGGATATTGGTATTTTGTTTTTATTTTAATTGTTTCTTAATAGCTTTATTTTTTATTAAAAATGTGACGTTTACATTTTTGCAATCAGAAACAAATATATTTATCATTCTTGAGCAATGGCTCTCGCTATAGATGAAGAGCTCGAGAGTAAATAGTGTCTTTTCTCACTTGTACCAACAATAACTAGGTATTTTATGTTATAATACTACGTATAGCTGTGATATGCGATATTTACATACATAGTTCCATTTAACTGTATTTCATTTATTTGTCTATTCTAATTTCTAATCATTTATACATTTATCTATAAACAAATTCAAACTGAAAACAATCCAGTGGAATTGTCGAAGATTACTACACAATCTGAATGAAGTAGGTAAAACTTCTAATCCAAGCGCACAAACCTATTTGTGTTTCGCTTCAGGTAGCACATCTCAAACCTAATAGTAAATATATAAATACTTTAATCTAATAAGATGGGACTTCTACTCACCTGAAAGAGCCTGCGGCGGAATGGCATTAGTAATTCGCAAAAGGCATGCCGTAGTACTTGTCCCAAATACAAGCTTCAGCGAGACATATTTAACATTAAGGTGATATGTGTCCATGATCGACTGCATACAAGCAATCAATTTTCTGCGGAATATTGCAACGTTGCACACACTATCAACCTGTGGTTAGAGCTTAACATAGTGCTAGTTATATGATAGAAACACTAATACTTACCTGCAAAAGGCACAAACACAGCAGCCGAATCCATAGATGGGCACACCCGTCGTAGGGAGCCCCAACTCTGGACCTTCTCCTTCCAGAATCGGCATACGGTGCACCTCCACCTACAAAAAAAGAATAATACAGACACAGAGGGAACCGCCTAAGTAGTAGTGACTAGTGTGACTAGTGTCCTGCTGGAGAGCACAAAAATATATACCGTGAATCAGTACATCTAAACAACAATAGTGTCGTTTTAGAAAATGCCGAAAGGCGTTTAAAGTTGATTTTGTGAATCCGTGTTTTTTCCGGGCTCATGTTGATGATTTACTAATATACTGCTCCTGAGACAGATAAGCGTTAAGATTTTGGAAGCGATTCGTAGATTATTTCAAAGTAAACTGCGCATCGAAAAACGTCAAACGCTGCTAACTCACACACCAAAATTTAAATTGAGTTGGATAAGCCTAAATAAAATCTTTATTATACATAACACACCCTTGCCATCTTCAGCTCCAGTGGAACGGATGTCTTCCTACGCCACCTTCATTAACACACCGAGGAGGCATGCATTGTCTGATAAAAACTGAAAGAGAACACCACAGACGAATAACAAACCTGAGGAGAAGACAACACAGACGAAGAAGATGAACAGCGAAAGAGACGCAAACCGAACCGCAGGATGCATAAGTCGTTCAGACCCTGAGGTGTCGCAATGGAGTCTAACAGTTCAATGCTGTCGACAAATACGAACCGTGACAAAACGTCTTGCTGGTCGATTTAAAAAATACCTCTGCATCAGTTGTTATCAAAAGCTTCAAGGAAGGTGTCTTCACGATACAATCTTAGACGCCGTGATGTTCAATATATAATAGAATAGGTCAACCTGTTTACAAAATAAATTTTGTCTTGTCAGATGCATAAGTTTTATACTACTAAGTTAGCTCCTAAGCTCCTAGGTCCATTTTCATACGCAAGAGATATTCATGGAACTATGAATTCCAGGATAAAGAAGGTACTAATAAAGGGTCAAAAATACAATATATTTAAAACCTTATTATAGAAATGATAAGCGTTTCTTAATACATCAAATAGCCAAAAGCATATGTAATTACGAATCCGTCCGTCTGCCAGTTTGAACGATATCTGGAAAATAAATAGACCGATTACGATGAAATTTGTAAGTGGATTCTTTATCAAATTTGTAGATCGGAGTTCGTGAATTAGCACTGTAGGCTAAAAAATAAAGACGGCTCTTTTGACATTTCCGTAAGTTATGAACCGAATTGCATGAAATTCAATACAGCTCTAGCCATATAATACGCTATACAAACAGTTGATTATCGATTCAACATTCACAGTGTCCTTTTCGTATCTCGACCATTTATGATCCGAATTGCACGCTATTTAAATATTTGATACATAGGCACTTGGAATAAAAGCAAATCGGACACCAGTTTCAAAATTTGTTTGTTTTGCGTATGCGCAGTGCCAACTTTCTTATTTATGAAAGCATTTAAACGAAATTTCATATATAGGCACTTGGAATATAAGCACATATAACACCAGGTTCAAAATTTGGTTTTACGCATGCTATAGCCATACTCAGGACCTCGTTTGATATACAGGTTGATTCAAATTCGAGGGCCACCATGGGGATCTCGGAAACTTTAAGCGATAGGTAGGTTGTTTAATTTGGCAAAGTTGCATATTTTGATGCTTAACAAAGTGCCGTTTTGAAACTTCGACTTTTTTTGAAGATACTTGCCGCTTTGAAACTAAAAAAATTCCGCCTACTGAAGATATCCTGAAACAAAAAATGAAATTTTGCAAAATCGTTTTTATTTTTTAAATGACACATTATTATGCCCACTTTTTTCCCTCTACAAGATGCTTATTCCTACCTAAAGGGCATAAAAAACAAAATATTATTAATTTTCTCGTGGCATAAAGGCATGAATCAAATGGACAGCTTCAAAGATCAGTGGTGCATTGGCGCTGTGCTTTGCAGAGAGGAGACAAGCTCTTTTTCCAAATAAACCGACGTGTTTCTTTTGGTAGCCACCCCCAAAGAAGTGGTGAAATTTGGATTTCTTCTTTAATTTTTTTCTCAGCAACCATAAGAGTTACAAAGATGGGTGGCACCTCTTTGAATAGGTTTTCGGGTATGCCCTATCCGATTTTGAAATTTTTTTTTTCAAAATTCCTACCACGAAAGGGCGCACCCCTACTTGGGGAAATTTGGTATCTAGGGGTTTTTGAACATGAAAATGACGAATCTGGAATTAGTTTATGAAAATTCGAATAAAAAAAGTTCCACTGCAAGTCTTGGCCGGACAACGAAAATGGAGAGAATTCCACGAAATTTTGTTGTGTACATACTTGATGAGTTAAGGAACAAAATTGTTTTAAAATAACTTTTCAATCAAAAGTTATACTCATTTGAAGATTGGGCCTTCGGATTACAAAGAATGTCCCCCGCTTACTGGCGAGTGATCTAATTTCACATGTAGTTAATTGAAAATGTCGCAAATAAAAAAATAACGATTTAAGTCGATACGATAACGATACTTGCAATAATGCTCTTATTGATTGTAATAGAATTCTACTTAATAGTAGATTAGAAAAACTAAACAGTATCATTACATAAATAATACACATTCACATGACAGTATTCTTTATTCCTTGCCCCTCTTTTCACAAAACTTGAATAGGGACCGTTCATGGTACAATTTCCAACAAAAGAAAACTATAAATCTAAAACTAGTTCTTATGAAAAATATTACAAATGATTAGGGAATCTTATTTAAATTTCAGCATTTCTGAATATAACGACGATCGCAAATGTGCGGAGGAAACGTATAGCATGACTCGGCTGAACTAAAATCAAACATTGGTTGCTTTAGTGCTTAAGGAAAAACTCGTAAATTTTATGTTTGCTCGAAGCAAAAGTTTCCAACCATATAAGGAATGTCGGGTTATTGGCAAGCAAATAAATTCCATAATAAGATTCCTTACGTTCGTACGTACCGCGGAAGTGATGGAAATTCAAATCCGTCAGTAGACGTATAAATTAGTATTTTACGTTCCATAATTTTCTTGTTAGTCAGGATGCGGAAAATTATAATTTTAATGTTCGCGTAATATTTTATAACTAGTTTTAAATTTAACTTTTTAATTGAGATTAGTTTATGAAGTTTAATATAACATTATTTTATTTTTATATTTAATGTTACGCGTTTAAATTTAATGAAGCATTTTTTCGGAGTACCACTGCTTCATTCGAACACATGCACGTACGTTTGTAAATTTAAAGCTTTCATATTTATTTTCATATTCTGTTTTTATACTGTAATATAACAGTGCCTAATTCTAAATTATTCTCTGTGGAAATCACGAAATTGGTTATCGGTCTTGACTGAGAATGACTTCAAAAGGCGACAATTTAGTTGCTTCATTTTCACAAACATTTATTAATTGTTTTTTGTTTTACAAATAAACACTCAGTTTCCCCAAATTTACAAGAGACTCGACATTTACTGGGTTCATAAACACACGTCACAGAATTTAAAAAAATTAATTTATTAGTTATATAAATATAAATTAAATATTGAATCACGAATTTCTCCATTTTATTTGTATATCAACCATGTGCATATTTTATGTTGTCATACAGCAAATTGAGTGCTCTTTTCAAGTATCTTAAAAAACATAGGCATTGCATTTAAAAAACAAAGGTTGCATCGATTTCAAGTTAAACCGGCCGTCGTGCCGGATAGATCGCATATAAAATTATATTTGACAAATTTTTTGTAGCTCGCCAAACAAAAGTGTGTGTGTAACACGGGACGTGTGTAACACTTTTTATTTAAATTCTAAATTTATATTCGATATTCTTACGCCATCTATGCATTTGCCCTGTAAATACGTTTAGTTTAGATGTAAGTTAGTTCTGTGGTAAGAGTTGTTATTTCTTTAGTTCTTTGTTTTGCCGCTAGAGGCTATCGGAGTGTACCTTTTCTTACAGTGACTGTATAAAGACTGTGACTATAATGCTCCATGTCGGCCATGTTTTTTCCAATGTTCTTCTGTTATTAGTAGCTATGACTTTTGTTGTTTTATGAATTGCTACTAATAACAGAAAAGTTGAAATTTATTTTTAAATTTGCGGGTATACCAAAAGCTTAATAAAACATCTAAAAACAGTTTTGTATGCACCTTTTAATTCTGAACAACTTTAAACTCTACAGTTTTTTTTCTGTAAAATGTACAGGAGCGCAGTATATTGCATAAAACTCATTTTCCCATGTTAAATTCCTATGTTCCTACCTCGGTTCCTACTTACCGTGCACCACCCGGTATAGTTGCTTGTGCTTTGTAAATTGTTTTTGAAGTTACCGAGACCTATTCCAAAACCAGTATCTACGATTTTTATTTACTTTACTTGTGTCATTACGAAGGATTTGTTCGTACTAGTTTATTTATATTTTAAATTAATTAGATTATCATTTGTAATATGGAAATTTAGATATCGTACAGTAGTTTTCTTGAAGTTAACGTCACGTTTATGCCTTTATATATAATCGATTTGTATGGATGATTCGTTATCGATCAAAATTTTGCGTTTGTTTAGTTAATGTAAATTGAATTATTGGTTCTTATTGAGTATTAATTACGATTTTAGTATTCGAGTTAGCTGATTAGTGTCGCAATATTTGTGAGCCGCGCTATTCACTATCCCTCTTGTTTTTTTACGCATTTTTTTAAGAATTAAAAAAAAATGTGCTATTGTTTGAGTTTTGTTCGTCCGTCCGTCCGGACCCACTTCTACCGTTTTGAACTACTTCTAGGGGAATGGTCCTAGAGTCCTAGAATTTTTGCAGTAGGTAGCCTATACCTTGAAGGTGTGTCCGAGGGCCATTAAATTACAGAGGGGGGGAGGGGGAGTATGAATTATTTCTTTGCATACGTATGCCTTTAGTGGTAACGGTGAGCAATTTTTTAAAGTAATGCTGATGTGAAGGATAATTAATGAATCTATAAATTTAAATGAAGTAGGTTCATGCTGTATGCAGCAATTATAATGGTTAGTTATGAATTACTTAGGGATGAGCTATCCTTTCGCTATTATATGTAGATAGATGTCAATGTGAAACAACGTTTAAGAGTATTAAAAGATTCAAATATTTATAAATTGATACGTATTTATGTTGATAAATCCTTTGTTTAAAGACACATGCTCGGTATAACAAGCAAGGCTAAAGCTACTATCAGTGTTCAATTTCGATCTTGCACGCAATAATTTACCCTTTAGTTAA